CCGTTCTTTATGCGGCGTGCTTCATGTGCCGTGCTTCATGCGCCGTGCTTCATGTGCCGTGCTTCATGCGCCGTGCTTCATGTGCCCTGCTACATGTGCCGTGCTTCATGTGTTGTGCTTCATGCGCCATGCTTCATGCGTCGTGCTTCATGCGCTGTGCTTTATGCGGTGTGCTTTATGTGCCGTGCTTCATGCGCCGTCCTTGATGCGCTATGCTTCATGTGTCGTGCTTTATGTGCCGTGCTTCCTGTGCCTTGCTTCAAGTGCCGTGCTTTATGTGCCGTGCTTCATGCACCATGCTTTATGCGCCGTGCTTCATGGGCCGTGCTTCATGCGCCATGCTTCATGCACCCTGCTTCATGTGCCGTACTTCCTGTGGCATGCTTCATGCGCCGCGCTTCATGTGCCATGCTTCATGCGCCGTGCTTCATGTGCCCTGCTTCATGTGCCGTGCTTCATGTGCTGTGCTTCATGCGCCATGCTTCATGCGTCGTGCTTCATGCGCTGTGCTTTATGCGGTGTGCTTTATGTGCCGTGCTTCATGCGCCGTCCTTGATGCACTATGCTTCATGTGTCGTGCTTTATGTGCCGTGCTTCCTGTGCCTTGCTTCAAGTGCCGTGCTTTATGTGTCGTGCTTCATGCACCGTGCTTTATGCGCCGTGCTTCATGGGTCGTGCTTCATGCGCCATGCTTCATGCACCCTGCTTCATGTGCTGTACTTCCTGTGGCATGCTTCATGCGCCGTGCTTCATACACTGTGCTTCATGTGCCGTGCTGGATGTGCTGTGCTTCATACGCCGTGCTTCAAACACGGTGCTTCATCTGCAGTGCTTCATGTGCCGTGCTTCATGTGCCGTGCTTCATGCGCCGTGCTTCATGCGCCGTGCTTCATCCGCCGTGCTTCATGTGCCATGCTTCATGTGCCATGTGGAATGTGCCGTGCTGCATGTGCTGTGCTTCATATGCCGTGCTTCATGCGCCGTGCTTCATGTGCCGTGCTTCATGCGCCGTGCTTCATGTGCGGTGCTTCATGCGCCGTGCTTCATACACTGTGCTTCAAGTGCCGTTCTTCATGCGCTGTGCTGTATGTCCCCTGCTTCATCTGCCGTGCTCCATGTGCTGTGCTTCATGTGCTGTGCTTCATGTATCGTGCTTCGTGCGCCGTGCTTCCTGTGCTGTGCTTCATGTGCCGCGCTGCATGCGCCGTGCTTTATGTGCCGTGCTTCATGTGCCGTGCTTCGTGTGCCATGCTTCATGTGCCGTGCTTCATGCGCTATGCTTCATGCGCCATGCCTCCTGTGCCGTGCTTCATGCGCCGTGCTTCATGCGCCATGTTTCATGCGCCATGCTTCATGTGCTCTGCTTCATGTGCTGTGCTTCATGTGCCGTGCTTCATGCGGCGTGCTTCATATGCCATGCTTCATGCGCCCTCCTTTATGCGCTGTGCTCTATGTGCCGTGCTTTTTGTGCCTTGCTTTTTGTGCCTTGCTTCATGCGTCGTGCTTTATGCGCCATGCTTTATGCGCCATGCTTCATGCGCCCTACGTCATGTGCCGTGCTTCTTGTGGCATGCTTCATGTGTAGTGCTCCATGCGCCGTGCTTCATACACTGTGCTTCAAGTGCCGTTCTTCATGCGCTGTGCTTCATGTGCCGTGCTTCATCTGCCGTACTCCATGTGCTGTGCTTCATGTGCTGTGCTTCATGTATCGTGCTTCGTGCGCCGTGCTTCATGTGCTGTGCTTCATGTGCCGCGCTGCATGCGCCGTGCTTTATGTGCCGTGCTTCATGTGCCGTGCTTCGTGTGCCATGCTTCATGTGCCATGCTTCATGCGCTATGCTTCATGCGCCATGCCTCCTGTGCCGTGCTTCATGCTTTATGCTTCATGCGCCATGCCTCCTGTGCCGTGCTTCATGCGCCGTGCTTCATGCGCCATGTTTCATGCGCCATGCTTCATGTGCTGTGCTTCATGTGCCGTGCTTCATGCGGCATGCTTCATATGCCATGCTTCATGCGCCCTCCTTTATGCGCTGTGCTCTATGTGCCGTGCTTTATGTGCCTTGCTTTTTGTGCCTTGCTTCATGTGCCGTGCTTTATGCGCCATGCTTTATGCGCCATGCTTCATGCGCCCTACGTCATGTGCCGTGCTTCCTGTGGCATGCTTCATGCGCCGTGCTTCATGCGCCGTGCTTCATACACTGTGCTTCATGTTCCGTGATTACGTGCCGTGCTTATGCGCCGTGCTTCATGTGCCGTCCTTCTTGCGCTGTGCTTCATGCGCCGTGCTTCATGTGCTGTGCTGAATGTTCCGTGCTGCATGCAGCGTGCTTCATGCGCCGTGCTTCGTGCGCCGTGCTTCGTGTGCCGTCCTTCATGCACCGTGCTGCATGCGCCGAGCTTTTTCTGCCATGCCTGGTGCACCGTGCTTCATGCGCCGTGCTTCATGCACCATGCTTCATGCGCCATGCTTCATGTTCTCCGCTTTATGTGCCGTGCTTCATGTGCTGTGCTTCTTGCGCCGTGCTTCATGCGCCATGCTTCATGCAATGTGCTTCCTGTGCCGTGCTTCCTGTTTTGTGCTGCCTGTTCCATGCTTCAAGTGCCGTGCTTCATTTGCCATGCTTCATGTGCCGTGCTTCATGTGCCGTGCTTTCTTTGCCATTCTTTATGCGCCGTGCTTCATGTGACGTGCTTCATGCGCCGTGCTACATGTGCCGTGCTTCATGCGCCGTGCTTCATGTGCCATGCTTCATGTGCTGTGCTTCATGTGCCGTGCTTTATGTGCCTTGCTTCATGTGATGTGCCTCATGCGCCGTTCCTCATGTGCCGTGCTTCATGTGCCGTGCTTCATGCGCCGTGCTTCATGCGCCGTGCTTCATGCGCCGTGCTTCATGTTCTGTGCTTCCTGTGCCGTGCTTCATGCGTCATGCTTTATGCGTCGTGCTTCATGTGCCATGCTTCATGTGCAGCAATTCCTGTGCCATGCTTCAATGGCCATGCTTCATGCGGCGTGCTTCACGTGCCGTGCTTCATGCGCCGTCCATTATGCGCTATGCTTCATGTGCCGTGCATTATGTGCCGTGTTTCTTGTGCCGTGCTTCAAGTGCCGTGCTCTATGTGCCGTGCTTCATGCGCCGTGCTTTATGTGCCGTGCTCCATGCACCGTGCTTCATGCGCTGTGCTTCCTCTGCCATGCTTCATGTGCCGTGCTTCATGCGCCGTGCTTCATGTGCCATGCTTCCTGTGCTGTGCTTCATTCGCCGTGCTTCATGCACCATGTTTTATGTGCCATGATTCATGTGCTCTCCTTCATGTGCTGTGCTTCATGCGACGTGCTTCATGCGGCGTGATTCATGTGCCGTGCTTCATGCACCGTCCTTTATGCGATGTGCTTTATGTGCCGTGCTTTATGTGCCATTCTTCCTGTGCCGTGCTTCAAGTGCCTTGCTTTTTGTACCTTGCTTTATGCGCCGTGCTTTACGCGCCATGCTTTATGCGCCATGCTTCTGTTAATTGCACATCATCATGAGTGCATATCATCCTAATGTCCTGCCGTATGATCATCTCATTCGTGCATGCATGTGTGCATGAGCATATATCACATTGCTCGCCATCTTGGATATTCTCATCATCCTGATTTTCTCCCAAGATTGAATGCATGGAAAATGCAGGAGAAAGCATGAGCATTCCAACGACCCCAAGATCGCCCCAATCTGACCGATGATGCCAAAGTTACAAGAATCCCAAGATTGGAAGTTCTAATGACAAGTGCTATACCTCGGATATCTCATTGGTCTTATATTGGGGATCTTGTGGTTAGATGGTTGGGGAGAAAACTTTGACTTTTGGTTGGGGTGGCTTGGTTGCTACAAGCCAAAATGTGCAAGTGTTGCAAATGTTGCAACATCTTGCCAAATCCAATCTCTTTGGATTTGGCATGTGTCCTCACATGGGCAACTTGGAGAGGGGCCTATGGTGTGCTTCTAGGAAGGTTCTAAACCATTCCTAGACATCAGGAAACCTTGTTTCTCTTTCAGGGCCCTCTTAGAGGTCTGAACCCCGAACCATGTCTATATGGTTGTGTGTCTTGCAAGTTCTATCTACTTTCTAAGGCAACGACCAGCAGTTACGTTTTGATTCAGTTCTCACTCTAGAGTTAATCTTTTCACCTGATTTAAATTTCAGATGACTCTAGACTTATAGGCGCGTCCTTCCACCGAGCAGATTGGCGTTTGGTTGAGTTGAGGTTCTGCTTAATTCGTGCAAAGTAGGCCGATCCTATCAACAAGTGGTATCAGAGCCAGTACCTATCTTTGCAACGACGAATCATGGTCATTTCTCAACCAATGTCTACGAGTAAGACCTGTTTCGAGTAGCTCAGGTTGCGAGCTTTCCAACGAGCCTATTCTTTGGTCTTTATGCAAAGGCGTGTGTTCGTGGCGGCGTTTCTTGTAAAGCTGAACATTCTGCCAGAATTCTGCCAGATTCGGTTTGTTACGATATCTTCATTCCTAGAGCTAGCAGATGTCGAATAGAGGCTCTGTAGTTGCTGAGGGCGAGATGGCACGTGGAGTTAGAGATAGGGAGAAAGGGGGAGCTGCTGGTGATGGTGCTGGAGCTTCACAACCGAGGGGAGAAGCTCAACAGCCTTCACTACCCACGTTATCTACTCCATCTCCACCATTCAACCCTACCGTGGATCCTATGAAGGCTTTCTCAATCGAGAAGTTCATAGGGGAGGGATTTGAGCACTGGAGCTTTCGAATGCGTCTCATGTTTACGCATTATCATCTGCTAGAGCTCGTGGAGGGAAGGGAGAAGATGCCGGAGAACACGGATGACCGTGGCTCATGGATAAAACGCTCGTTCGACACGTACATGCTCTTGGTGCAAGCGGTTGGAGGGCGCCAGTTGGATCACATCAAGGAGCTGCTTGGAGATCCCGAATGTGGACCAAAGGCATGGAAGAAGCTGCAAGATATCCACTCACCAACTCATGCGACCGGCATTGTGCTATTGGCGCGTCGATTGCGCGACATCAAATTCGTGGATGGAGAGCCAATGCAACCGGTTTTGGATGAGATGCGGGATATCTTCTCCAAATTGCAAGCGGGAGGATTGGTCTACCCTGAGCTCGTGCAGTGTGTGGAGATTGTCATCAGATTGCCGGAGTCTTGGTCTGCTCTTGCTATCAACCTCAACTCTCAGCAATCCCAGTGGAACTTGGAACTTGGCTACTGTGGGAAAGGTCACCCTTCACTCTCTGGACTTTTGGGTGATCGATAGCGGCGCCACCTATAGCATGACACCTCGTGCGGACTTGCTCACCGAACTCGAACCGTCGCCGGTCAAGCATGTTACATCGGCTTTGGGGCAGCGAGCAGAGGTGAAAGGCATGGGCAAGGCCATGTTCAAGGGTGCTGATGGGAAGATGGTGGGCCTCAAGAACGTGCTTTTGGTGCCCAACCTTGCAGCCAACCTGATTTCCGTTCGGCGTTTGCAAAAGGCCGGCATGGACACATCTTCCAAGGGATACAAAACCTATACCGCAAGGCTTGGTGAGCGGAAGCTTTGGGACCTTCATGAGGACAGGGACATCTACAATGAGATGTGGCAAATCCCAGTGGTCCCCATGCCTAAAGAGAGGCAAGTGGTAGCAAGCGTCAGCACCAAGCGTGAAGCGGTTGGTGGCGGTGATCACGGAAAGCAAAGTGACACCAAGAGTGACTCGAAGGAGTGCAACCTTGGAGAGACCAGCAAGGCGTGTGAACCCAAGGAGAATGGTGCAGCAGCCAAAGGTGGTGGAAATGAGGAGGAGAAGGCTAAGATCAACAAAGCAGCAGCGGCGAAGGAGAAAGGAGAGAGCTTGTGGGGCACAATTGCGAGTGCCGCTTTCTCCAACCCGACTTCCGCTACGGGAGAGTGTGATTGGCTGACCTTGCATCGGCGAATGGGGCATGTGGCATTGCCCATTTTGCAGCAGATTGTTAAGCAAGAGATGGTCAGTGGGATACGTGTCAAGGGGGAGCCCAATGAGGTGCTTGGCTGTCCAACATGCATGCAAGCCAAGTTCACCCGCTACCCGTTCCATAGCTCGGAGACAACGGCGAAGGCACCACTTGATGAGGTGGTGATGGATGTGGTGGGCCCCTTGAAGCTTGGAGCTGCTGGAGCAGAGTACTTCCTCACCATTGTGGACGTCTACACTCGCATGACCTGGGTGTATGTGCTGCCCAAGAAGAGTGACGTAGCTGAAACGGTGAAGACCGATTGGTTGCCGATGGTGGAGCGGCAACAAGACCGACTTGTGAAGGCGATTCGCACTGACCGTGGGGGAGAGTTCCTGAGCAATGAATTCTCAACTTGGCTGAAGAAGCAGGGCATAAGACACTCTCTTACCATGCCCTACTCTCCTGCAATGAACGGCATCGCCGAGCGTGCGAATCGGACACTCACGGAGACGGCTCGGGGACTTCTCATTGAAGCCGGTCTACCCAATTACTTTTGGCCAGATGCGGTGCGGCATGCTTGTGTGGCCAAGAACAGAGCCTTGACTCATGTGGGAGAAGACAAATGGGTGCCCTATGTGGAGTGGATTGGAAGGAAGCCGAAGGTGGATATGCTTCGGGTGTTCGGGTGCATGTGCATGGCACTTGTGCCTAAGAAACTTCGGCACAACAAGCTTGATGCCAAGGCAATATGGGCCGTGCACCTAGGCATGGCTCAAAACAGCAAGGGATGGCTTCTATGGGACCCATTTACCAAGAAGTTCTTGGTGACCAGAGATTGCAAGTTCATGGAGAACTTACCGTACAAGGAGTGGAAGGCGGAGAACCAAGCGAAGATTGGTGTGCGGCTTGGAGAGGTGAAGAGGACCGGCTTGGACCATGTGGAGCTGCCCTTGGAGCTGAGTAGCAGCAGCACAATCATGAGGCAATCTCCCCAAATGAATGGGGATGAGGAGGAGGAGGAGGTGCAGCAAGGTAATGAGCGTGCACCGCCACGTCCGCCTCAACGGCGTTTTGGAGGAAGAGACCTACATGGAGCAGCCAGAGGGGTACAATGATGGGAGTGGCAGAGTGTGGAAGCTGAAGAAAGCACTCTATGGCCTCAAGCAAGCCCCTAGGCAATGGTACATCAAGCTACGGGAAGTCTTGGAGGCGATCGGCTTCACTCCCTCAACGGCCGATCAATCCTTGTTCGTGCTTGGCGAGGGGGAGCAGAGGAGCTTCATGGTGGTTTATGTGGATGACATCCTCATATTCTCACCCTCCTCTGACCTTGTGAAGGAGGTGATGCTGAAGCTTCAAGACAAGTTCAAGTGCAAGACCCTTGGTGACGTCAACTACTACCTTGGGCTGCACATTGAGCGAGATGTGGAGAAGCGGTGGATGCGAGTGCATCAAAAGAAGTACTTGGAGGCTTTGGCTGCAAACTTTGGGAAGAGTGAAGGTCATGTGGCTACTCCTCTTCCCTCAGGGTTCAAGTGTGTGAAAGGACCAGCGGAGGAAAGTGTTGGTGAAGAGGAGAGGCGGCGTTTTCACTCCTTGGTGGGCAGCCTCATGTATGCGGCCGTTCACACAAGGCCGGATGCAGCCTTTGCTACCGGGCAGCTGGCTAGGGTTGTCCAATGCCCTAATGAGGAGCAGGTAGCAGCTGGAGAGAGGGTGGCCAAGTACCTTGGCCAAACAGCAACTGTTGGACTGCAATACTCCGCGGCGGCACAAAGGCGTCATAAGGGTGCGGATGGAGTCGAACCCGGGAGGCTCTTTCTCACCGCCTTCACTGATGCATCTTGGGCATCAGAACCAGAGGACATGACAAGTGTGGGAGGCTTCATCTGCTGTGTTGGTGGAGGAACAACAGCTTGGGAGAGCAAGAAACAAGTGGACCAAGCATTGAGCTCGGTGGAGTCCGAGTACATGGCACTCTTCTGTGCCATAAGAGAGGTTGTGTGGCAGCGGCGTTTGCTAGCTGAATTGGGGGAGGAGCAGCAAGGACCTACCCCACTCTATTGTGATAGCCAGGGTGCTATTGCATTGGCTAAGAACCCGGTTCTTCATGGCCTTACCAAGCACATGAAGGTGAAGTGACATTGGGTGAGGAGGATGGTAACCTCGGGTGAAGTGGAGTTGCACTATGTGAAGACGACGGCGCAGCCAGCTGATATGATGACCAAGAGGCTGGTTGAGCAGCAGCATTGGAAGTGTTGCAAGCTTGCTGGGATGGCTCTGAACTAAGGGGAGCAGATTCTAAGGCCAACAATCCGAGGGGGAGTTTGTTGGTGCAACCCTATGGCTTGCACTCGGCTTGTCGTCCTTGTTTGTGTGTGTGCATGCATGGCATGGAATGATTTGTGAGTCTATGTCATTGCTATCTAGTGCTTTTGTGTGAGTTTGGATGGTGTATCACAATGTGGTTTGTGTCGGTCAAGACATTAGCGAGTTTTTACAACTCGCATGTCAAGTCGTCGTTTGCGTGTCGCATGCGTTTTTTCTATTTTGTCGAGTGGGAAGTGTCCATCGTGTCGCAGGTGTGTGCAGCAAGCCCCCATCAACTCAAGAAGAATTTATCTTGCAGATCCAAGAACAAGAGCTCAAGATTTTAAGCCCAAGGGACGCGGATAAATATTAAATAGTGAAAATAGTAACGTTACTTCGTGTAGTGTTACATTTCACTTGGTGTAGCCCCTTGGAGGGTTGGTTTCGAGACTCTTCATGGTTGGGGACTCTGTGGTGGTGTACCACCAACCTGGACCTCAGCTCTTGGGGTATGTAGAGGCTGGGAACCATCTCCCTCTCAAACTCTTCTTGCTAAGTTTGTACTTCCAAGACTACAGTGGCTGCTATACCTCTTGCCAGTCAAACCGCCATAGCGTCGTCAAATCCTCATGGAATTTCATGATTCAACTTGCTGCTGATAGACGACAGCAACGCGCTCTAGATCCAACTTACAGATCACAGTTTGACTCAGTCACCAGATCGTTATCAATATTTGAAGCCGTCTGACGGAAATCCGACTGTGCTCTCTATCTCTCATTATAGCCACATCTGAGCCTATTGTGACTATAACAGCAAGTTCTATCTACTTTCTAAGGCAACGACCAGCAGTTACGTTTTGATTCAGTTCTCACTCTAGAGTTAATCTTTTCACCTGATTTAAATTTCAGATGACTCTAGACTTATAGGCGCGTCCTTCCACCGAGCAGATTGGCGTTTGGTTGAGTTGAGGTTCTGCTTAATTCGTGCAAAGTAGGCCGAGCCTATCAACAGCTTCATGCGCCCTGCTTCATGTGCCGGGCTTCCTGTGGCATGCTTCATGTGCCGTGCTTCATGCGCCGTGCTTCATACACTGTGCTTCATGTACCGTGCTTCATTCGTCGTGCTGGATGTACCGTGCTTCATACGCCGTGCTTCAAACGCCCTGCTTCATCCGCCGTGCTTCATGTTCCGTGCTTTATGTGCCGTGCTTCATGCGCCGTGCTTCATGTGCCATGCTTCATGCGTCGTGCTTCATGTGCCGTGCTTCATGTGACATGCTGCATGTGCCGTGCTTCATGTGCCGTGCTTCATGCACCGTGCTTCATGCGCCGTACTTCATGTGCTGTGCTTCATGCGCGGTGCTTCATTCGCCATGGTTCATGTGCTCTGCTTCATGTTCCTTGCTTCATGTGGCGTGCTTTATGTGCCATGCTGCATGCGTCGTGCTTCATGTGCCGTGCTTCATGTACCATGCTTCATGTGCCGTGCTTCATGCGCTGTGCTTCATGTGCTGTGCTTCATGCGCCGTGCTTCATGGGCCATGCTTCATGCACTGTGCTTCATGTGCCGTGCTTCTTGTCCCGTGCTTCATGTCTCGTTCTTCCTGTGCTGTGCTTCATTCGTCATGCTTCATGCCTTGTGATTCATGTGCTGTGCTTCATGTGCCATGCTTCATGTGCTGTGATTCCTCTGCCGTGCTTCAATGGCCGTGGTTCATGCGGCGTGCTTCATGCGCCATCCTTTATGTACCGTGCTTCATGTTCTTGGCTTCCTGTGCCGTGCTTCATGTGCCGTGCATCATATGCCGTGCTTCATGCGCCATGCTTCATGCGCTGTGCTTCATGTGCCGTGCATCATGCGCCGTGCTTCATTCGCCATGGTTCATGTGCTCTGCTTCATGTTCCTTGCTTCATGTGGCGTGCTTTATGTGCCATGCTGCATGCGTCATGCTTCATGTGTTGTGCTTCATGTACCGTGCTTCATGTGCCATGCTTCATGCTCCGTGCTTCATGTGCCGTTCTTCATGGGCCGTGCTTCATGCACTGTGCTTCATGTGCCGTGCTTCATGTGCCGTGCTTCATGTCCCGTGCTTCATGTCCCGTTCTTTCTGTGCTGTGCTTCATTCGTCATGCTTCATGCGTCGTGATTCATGTGCTGTGCTTCATGTGCTATCATTCCTCTGCCGTGCTTCAATGGCCGTGGTTCATGCAGCGTGCTTCATGCGCCATCCTTTAAGTGCCGTGCCTCATGTTCCGGGCTTCCTGTGCCGTTCTTCATGTGCCGTGCTTCATGCACTGTGCTTCATGTGCCGTGCATCATATGCCGTGCTTCATGCGCCGTGCTTCATGCGCCATGCTTCATGCGCCCTGCTTCATGTGCCGTGCTTCCTGTGGCATGCTTCATGCGTCGTGCTTCATGCGCCGTACTTCATTTGCCGTACTTCATATGCCCTTCTTCATGTGACGTGCTTCATGCGCCGTGCTGCATGCGCCGTGCTTCATGTGCCGTGCTTTATGCGCCGTGCTTTATGTGCCATGCTTCATGCGATGTGCTTCATGTGCCTTGCTTCATGCACCGTGCTTCATGTGCCGTGCTTCATGTGCCGTGCTTCATGCGCCCTGATTCATGTGCCGTGCTTCATGTCCCGTGCTTCATGTCCCGTTCCTCGTGTGCTGTGCTTCATTCGTTATGCTTCATGCGTCGTGATTCATGTGCTGTGCTTCATGTGCCATGCTTCATGTGCTGTGATTCCTGTGCCGTGCTTCAATGGCCGTGGTTCATGCGGCGTGCTTCATGTGCCATGCTTCATGCGCCATCCTTGGTGTGCTGTGCTTCATGTGCCGTACTTCATGTTCCGTGCTTCCTGTGCCGTGCTTCATGTGCCGTGCTTCATGCACTGTGCTTCATGTGCCTTGCATCATATGCCGTGCTTCATGCGCCGTGCTTCATGCACCATGCTTCTGTGTGGGAATGTGTTCTGCGTTATCTTTTGTCTGAGCATGTATCTGTGATGATAGATCTTGAGAAGATCTTTCCCACGCAATGAGAATCCCTTCAATCGGAGCAAGAACGCGAAAGCTATGATGAAACAAAATTCATGAGCTTGCGTTGCAATTGCGGCGGTTACAAAGTGAATTTGTGGGGTGACTCACTATGGAGTTGGGACCTTTGAGGGTTGGTGAAATTCGTCACTCTATTCGTCACTCTCATCCCTCTCATCCCTCTCTTCCTATCCCAAACTTTCTGTTGCTCCTCTAATTCCTTGTGAGATTCTTGAACCTTGATTGAAGTTTGAGATTGAGTTAAGTTCTTCTCCTACAGCTTACCCCTCCATGCGTCGAAAGACATAGCGTCATGATTCAAATTGGGAACGGTAGCTAAGATTAATAGATACGAAATATCCCAGTTTCACAATATTCCAACAGCTAGTTTTTTGTCGACGACGTTTCTTCTGGAGATCGCTTTTCTGTCCAGAATTTCGGATTCCTAAGTTCACATAACAGCTTTATGCGCCCTGCTTCATGTGCCGTTCTTCCTGTGGCATGCTTCATGCGCCATGCTTCATACACTGTGCTACATGTGCCGTGCTTCATGCGCCGTACTGGATGTGCCATGCTTCATACGCCGTCCTTCTTACGCCGTGCTTCATCCGCCGTGCTTCATGTGCCGTGCTTCATGCGTCATGCTTCATGTGCCGTGCTTCATGCGTCATGCTTCATGTGCCGTGCTTCAAGCGCCGTGCTTCATGTGCCGTGCTTCATGTGCCGTGCTTCCGGTGCCGTGCTTCATGCGCCGTGCTTCATGTGTTGTGCTTTATGTGCCATGCTTCATGCGCCATGCTTCATTTGCCGTGCTTCATGTGCTGTGCTTCATGCACCGTGCTTCATGTGCCGTGCTTCATGTGCCGTGCTTCATGCGCCGTGCTTCATGCGCCATGCTTCATGTGCCCTGCTTCATGTGCCGTGCTTCATGCGTCATGCTTCATGGGTCGTGCTTCATGTGCTGTGATTCATGCGCCGTGCTTCATACACTGTGATTCATGAGCCGTGCTTCATGCGCCGTGCTGGATGTGCCATGCTTCATACGCCGTGCTTCATCTGCCGTGCTTCATGTGCTGTGCTTCATGTGCCGTGCTTCATGCGCCGTGCTTCATGTGCTGTTCTTCATGCGCCGTGCTTCATACACCGTGCTTCATGTGCCGTGTTGCATGTGCCGTGCTGCATGCACCGTGCTTAATTTGCCATGCTTCGTGCGCCGTGCTTCCTGTGCCGTGTTTTATGCGCCATGCTTCATGCGCCGTGCTTCATGTGCCGTGCTTGATGCACCGTGCTTCATGCGCCGTGCTTCATGCGCCATGCTTCATGCGCCATGCTTCATGTGCTCTGCTTTATGTGCCGTGCTTCACGTGCTGTGCTTCATGCGCCATGCTTCATGCGCCGTGCTTTATGCGCCGTGCTTCATGCGCTGTGCTTCATGCGCCGTGCTTCATGCGCCATGCTTTATGCGCCATGCTTCCTGTGCCGTGCTTCCTGATCCGTGCTTCCTATGCCATTCTTCATGCGCCATGCTTCATTTGCCGTGCTTCATGTGCCGTGCTTCATACAACGTGCTTCATGCACCGTGCTTCATGCGGCGTGCTTCCTGTGCCGAGCTTCATGCGCCATGCTTCATGCGCCGTACTTCATTTGCCGTGCTTCATGTGCCGTGCTTCATGTGTCGTGCTTCATGCGCCGTGCTTCATGTGCCGTGCTTCATGTGCCATGCTTCATGCGCCCTGCTGCAAGTGCAGTGCTTCATGCGCCGTGCTTCATGCGCCGTGCTTCCTGTGGCGTGCTTCATGCGTCATGCTTCATGCGCCGTGCTTCATGCGCCATGCTTCATGCGCCATGCTTAATGCGCCGTGCTTCATGCGACATACTGGATGTGTTGTGCTTCATCCACTGCGCTACATGTGCCGTCCTTAATGCGCCGTGCTGGATGTGCTGTGGTTTATGTGGCATGATT